TAAAAGGCTCCGTTAAAAGTATTAGATAAGCCTTTACTATTACTTATATCGGAATTAATCTATTTGACTTCCTTTATAGGAATAGCTCCGGTAAGAAATTATATATTTTACAGATTTCGAGATATAATTACTTATTAAACTACCTCTTTTAAGAATAGAGAGATTAGCTTATAAGGTATTTATTAGTAGGTAATAAGATAATAGAATGAATTAATATATTATAAAACCATAGTATTAAATTTAGTATAGAACTAACCTCTATTTCTCTTATAAGGTCCAGGGAAGCCCTCTCTAAATAGAAGGCCCCGATAGTATATATATAATTAGTAATTTATAAGCCTAATATATATAATATAAATAGTAATTAGTTGGGATATTAAAGGACTACTAATCTTCCTAATTAATACCTGTAATATTCGAGGTTTATTATATATCTTTAAGTTATATATAACCCTATATATATTATATAAATCTATAACTTTAATTTAATATAATAGCTTCTATTTCTAAGTCTAATACTTCTAATCTAAATATAAATAGCTATATTTATAAGAAAAATTACCTAAAGTAAACTAAAAAGCTTAATATCTAAAAGCTTTTAATAAAAGAAATAGAAATACTATAATTTTATTTCCGAAAAAATAAAATATAGAAATATAGAAATCTAGATAATAGCTATTTTATTTTAGTCTCTTAATTCTTAATAGTAAATTCCTTAATATAGCTTGAATTTCATAAAATATTAGCTAAGTATTTTATTTATCTAGTTATTTATTTTTAACTAGCCTAATATTATATTTCTAGAAATATTAATTATTATTAATATAAAGATAATACTAATAATCTAATTATTATTAAAGTTTTAAATAATAAGGTTTTCCTTAATAAGGAAAATCGGAATATTAGTTATATTTTCTTTATAAACTATAAAAAAGTAGCTTTTTTTAATAAAAAAGTTTTTAAGAATATTAATTACTTTTTTATTTATAATAATTTTAATTTAAAAAATATAAAGAAATTAAATAAACATCTAGTAAAAAAGTAGAAAAAAAGTATTTTAAATATAATATATTTAACTATATAAATAAATTCTTTTAGTTAAATAATTTATAAGTTTAAAATTATAATTAAATAATAATTTTCGAATAAAATAGTAATTAAAAAATAGCTTAATAATAATCTATTATTCAAAAAAGCTTTTATTATAATTCTAATAAGCCTAATTATTATTTAGAATAAAATATATAAAAATAAAGTTTCTTATAAAGTTATTAAAGCTTTTTACTAAAGCTTTTTTCTTTTTACTAAAAGCTAATTTAAGAATAATAAAAATAATATAAAATTCAAAAAAGTTATTTATTTGAAATATATTAGTATAATTTGTAATATAATTTACTATAATAAGCTATCTTAGTATCTAGCTATAAAGGCTAAGATTAACTAATAATTAAAGGCAAATACTAAATAATTAAAAGAATTATATTATATTTAGTATAAGAATATAATTAAATGAATTTGAATTACTTTTAAATAAGTTCGAAAATATAAAATAAAATTATTTAAGAATAATAAATTATATTTTAAATATAATAAAAAGAAATTAGAAATACTAGTAAAAGAAAATCCTAATTATTTTATTATTTCGAATTCTAAATAGGGATTTTTTATTTGTTTTTAGTATTTAGGAAATAAATATAAATAAATAAAAAGCCAAATAAAATATAATAAGTTATATTTTATTAAAATTACTTTATTTTAATAGTTTTAATATTTTAGTTATATAATAAAGGCTAGAGCCTTTTATATATAATTTATAGAAATTATATAAGAAAGTTAGCTTTTTTTATAATTCTAGATAATAATCTCTTTTTTATATTTTATTAATTATACTTTTATATATTATATATTATTTATATTTTATTATTTATATTTTTAATTTTATTATTTTATTATTAAATCACGTTTAATATTCTAGTATATTTTATATAAATTTTTATTTTATATAAGTTTTCTTTTTATAATATTTAGAAAAGAATTTATTATATATTTTATAAATTAAAGTAATTTATAAAAGTAATTCTGGAAATATTTTATTTTCTATAATATTTTATAATATTTAGATATTATTTTTAGTTTAAGCTATTATATACAGCTTTTCTAGATTTAGTAATATATAATTTTCTTATAGGATTCTATTTATTAGTTATAAGTTTTATATTTAATAAAAGCTTTTAATAATACTTTTATAGAAGTTATTATAGGTATGGTATTTAGGGCTTGAAAAGCAAGGTAAAAGGTCTCTTATAAAGATAATTCAAAGCTAAGGAAGGGAAAATTAGAATACAAGAGGCTATAAGGAAGTATATATATCCTATAGTATACTAGTCCTAAAGGGGCTAGCCTTCTAAATATCTCTAGTATATTCCAAGTATATTTCCCTAGTAAGGCAGCCACATCACGTGTGCCTAGGAGGCATCTGGTATCTAGTAAGGCATTTCAGATACCGGACATCTGGAAATTGTAATATTACTTTCCCTCTTTATAATAAGCTCGTCCCCGAGCTTTATATAAGCCATTAATCCATCTAATTTCATACTATACTCTTTCCCAAAATAAAACTAATATTTCGGATATAGATATTATATATAAAAGGCCGGTATCTTTACTATATAACCTAGAAAAGTTTATTATTATTTCTATATAGTTCTGGACTAGTATTATTTTTTATATAATCTAGCTAGTATTACAGGTTTTATAAAAGTTTTAGTATATTAATATTATTATTATAGAAACTTTATAAAACCAGGAGGCTATTACTTAGTACTAAAGCTAGATATTATACTAGATCTTTATCCTAACTAATTCACTAAATTTTATACTTTAGCCTATTTCTTACTAGCTTAACTATAATAACCCGTTTAATACTATATTCTTATTTACTATTCTCTAGTATTAATAGGGGCAATTCCGGGTTTACTTAATCTAATAAAGAATTCTAGGAGTCTTTTTATAGCTTCTTTATATAGAAAACTAGGTATATCTTTATGATTTCTAGTAGTTTTAAGAGAAATAAGTAGCTATACTATTCTAGAATCTCAAATAGGCCTTCTATTTAGTTCCCTAGCTTCTGGCTCGGATAATCGGATTTCTAGTACTTTATAGTAACTTATATTTTATTCCCTACTTTGAAATTAATTAGATACTAGTATTTATTAACTTATACTATATATTATTTCTATATTTGCTTTATATGGCCTTGGGCAAGTTACTATAATTTATATAATTAATTTACTAATACTTTAGCTTTATTTCTATTTAGCTTCTCTTTGAGTGAGTTCGCTTTAATAAGGGAGTTCTAGTCCAGAGAAATATAAGGCTTATAGCCCTTTTTAGTTATAAATAGGAACTAGCTAATAGTTTTATACTAAAGAGAAACTTATTAATAATTAATTATAGTAACCCATTTATTCCAGTTATCCTAATAGTAGTTAATATATAGGTATAATCTCTAATTAAAGTACTAATTAATAATCTCCGTTTATTTGTTTATTTAGGGGTAATTAGTTATAAAGAGCTTAAGCTTTATACTAATTCTCGTATAGAATTCGCTTTAAAAATCGGATATAAATTAGGGTTCCTGATCTAATATAATTATTTCTAGAATACCTATTTAGTATACTATATAAAGTAAAAATAGAGGTATTAGCTACTTAACTATAATTATATCTTATACGGGAATCGTAATTAGGTACTTAGATAAGTAATTCACGAATATAGCAATTATATTATGGCCCGATTTACTTTCTAGATAGCTCTTGAAATCTATAGTAATATATTACTAGAAGTAATTAGGAACTAGAAAGAAATAAAATAAACCAGGCTTCTTATTTCTAGGTATATGCGATCTCCTATAAGTATAGTAATTACTATAGTATTAATTAATATCCTTGCCTATAAATAGCTAGTAATATTATTTCTTTAATAGTTATTAGAGCTTTATATATCTAGGATATCCAGAAAGGGTTTATTATATATTTTACGAATTAGGGCAATTTATAAAGATAGTCCGGGAATTATTTTATTCTCTATAATATAGAGTTTTCTATAATATAAAAAGAGGCCGTCTTATAATATTCAGATATTACTTTTAGCTTAGGCTATTATATATAGCTTTTCTAGATCCGGTAATATATAATTATTTTATAGGATCTTATTTACAAGTTATAAACTATTATACTTGGCAGGAGCCTCTAATAATACTTTTATAGGGGCTATTATAATAGAGTCTATTAGTAAAGCTTCTAAGAAAATACCTTTTTCTAGGGGAATTATATCTCTAATAAGGATATTTTCCTCCGGAAAATCTTTAGTATATACTTGGTTTTTAGGGCCAAATTCTAGATTAAGTAAGCTAATCTTATAAAGTATTACTATAAGCTATAAGTTATAAATAATCTCTAGATTAATTTATTTTTAGAGAGAAGTACTTGAGTTTATAGCTTTTTCTTAATCTGGCCCTAAGTATCTACTTTGTCTTATTTTTGTAATAAAGTATCTACTTACTTATTTGATTTTTTAGAATAATATATAAGCTTAAAATAATAGTAAGATAAGAGCTTAGCCTATCTAGCTTATTAAGAAGAAAGCTTCTTAGTAGTTATAAAGTACTTTAAGATATAGTAATTAGAATAGACCTTAAAAGAAGTATCCTAAAGGCCCTCTAGCTTAGCTCTCTATTCCTCTAATACTCGAATTATAACAAGTATTTCCTTATTATATATATTATAATTAAGCTTTACCAGGAGTATAATTTTGGAAAAATAAGCTACTAGATATTAAAGGCCTATTTCTGGGTCTTATTAAGAAAATAGGCCAGTAATTACTTCTTTAGATATATCTATTTCTATTATTATAAGCAGATCTGGATTATAATATTACAAAACTAGAATAGAAATCATAGCTTTCTTTAGGTAAATAAAAGCCTCTCGGTATTACTCGGATTACTTAAAAGAAATACCCTTTTTTATAAGTAAGATAAGAAATCTAGTAATTCGTTTATACTCTCTAATAAAGTATTTATAAATATTATAGAAGCCGAGGAAGAACTATATACTCTTAATTATCTTTGGGAATTACTAGTTATATATTACTTTAACTTTATTAGGATCTACTTTAATATTAGATATAGAGATAATAAAGCCCAAATACTTTATATATATAATTTTAAATTCTAAATTCTTAATATTTACTTAGAGGCCGGTAAGATATAAGTAGTCTAGTACTTTTTATATATACTATTCGTACTTTACTAGATCCTCTAAGTAAATGAGAATATTATTAAGGTATATTATATAAAAGTTATTTAGATACTCGAAGAATATATTATTTATATAGTATTAATATATAGCCAGGCTATTTATAAGGCCTTCCTAGAGAATATTATATTTATATACTCTATAATAAGTACGAAACGTTATTAGCTCCTAAAAGTCCGAGTCTATAGCTATATAATAGAAAGCTTAATAGATATCTAATTTAGTATAGATCTTAGTCTTAAATAATTAACTTAAAGTTTTATTAATAAGGGAAAGGGGATATTAATTCTTTTAGATAATATTATTTAGATAGCGAAAATTAATATAGAAATATAAACCTCTATTTACTTTCTTTATAAAAAGAACTAGTAAAGTAAAGGAAGCCTAACTAGCTTTAATAAAGCCCTTAGCCAGATTATCTTATAAGAAATACTTGATTTCTAGAAGCTCTTAAGTAAACTACTACTAAAGGAATTAATATCTAATACTCTCGGTTTCCTTTAGGCCTTTAATCTGAATCTTATAATTATATAGTTTATAGGAAGGAAAAGTATTAGATTTCTTTTTAGAGAAAACAAAGGCATATTTCTTAAGTTCCGGGAGTAATATCCTCTATAGCTACTAAAGCTCTATTTCTTCCGGTTATTAATTCTCTAAGCCAGGAATAGCTTCTTTTTTCCGAGCTTTAAGCTTCTTATTAATCTTATAGATAGAGATTCGACTAATAATATTATCTTCTTTTTTGGCTATATAATTAAATACTATAGAAATAAGAATAGCTAGATCTAATATTTGCTTTTTATTAAAGACTTCTTCCCGCTTCTTTAGCTTTTACTTGGGTATTATATCTTAATTAGGCTATAGAAGCTTTTTTTTCATAGTCTTATATAATTCCCTCTAATTAGTTCGGAAAAAGAAAGACTATTCTAGAATAAAAGATTTCCAGAAATAGCTTATAATAGAATCTTATTAATTAGTATTCTTTTAATATTTCTTATTAGGTTACTTCTCTAGCTATTACTATAAAGTACTAATAATATAACCGAATCATACAAATTTAGGCTTATTCTTTAGCTATATAAGCCTATGTTTTCTATAATTAACTAGAATATTAATATATACTACCCATTTCCTATTAAGAATAATATTATAATCTCTAAAGTTTAGGATAATTATAAGTATATTAATGCTTTATTTATTAATTAGAAATAAGACTTCTATATATTTCTTAGTAAACTTAGCTAGCTTTTCGTTAAAACCGCATATAGTATAGGGTAAGAGAAAGGGTTATAGTTCTATTCCTAAGAATTACTCTATAAACTAAGTAAGCTTTATATTAATAAAAGTATAACTATTAGCTCTAGTATTAATAAGGAAAGAAAACTTAATTCCTAATTCATTTATACTAATAATATAGGGTATTATAAGAGTATTTCCTCTTATTAGACAAGTTAAGTCAATCTCTACTAAATCCATACTATAAGCCCCTAAAATAGAGACTTTCTTTAGAAATACTCGTTTCCCGATTTCATACTAGAATTAGAGCTCGAATTCTCTAAATACTTTATTTAAATAGTATATTTTAATAGAATAGGAACTAAGCCTGGCTTAATTCTAGAGAAAGCTATCTTAATTTCCTTACTATATAAAAGCAGATAGTATCTGGTATAATAGCCGAACTTATTATAGTTATAGTACTTAATAGTTAAGAGATCCTCGGTTTTTATAGGATATTACTTATATTTATAAGGGAATATATACTTAATAAAAGTAGTTAATATAGGCTTCTTAGGCTTTTTTTTAGAAGTATACTTTTTAGGAATATATAAGAATATAGTACTAGAAATAAACTTGGCTAGAATAGCTCCTGCCTTCTTATATTTCTTAGTCTTCTTATATATAGCCTTAATCTACTAATTATTAGTAGTATAGTATTAAGTAAAACAAGTAGTATTAATAAATAAATTATTATAGTATATATATACTAATTTCTAGAGCTTTAGTAAAAGCTTCTTATTTAGTTTATATTTAATGTTTTAAAGACTAATACTGCCTTTTATAAATAGTTATAAGAAAAGAGTATAAAATTCCTGAAATACTTAACTAGAATATATTTAAAGCTTACTAAAGTTATAGCAAGTATTCTATATCTTATTAGGATTAGAATATAGCTTCTTTAGATAAGAGTAGAATTCTGAAAACTAATAGTACTAATTCGGACTATCTTTATCTATATAAGAATTAGTTAGGGCGAGAGTATTACTAGTAAGTCTACTAGAAATATAAATAATCTTAAAATCCTCTAAGGAATACGAGTTAGTATTTCTTTATAGCTTGTTCTTAATCTAAACTAGCTAGTTATTAAAGATAGTATAATCTCTAGTAAAGAAAGTTAGATCTAGAAGCTTAGTAACTCTAGTACCTCTAAAAGAAATATAAGATATAGGGAATTCTGGACAGAAATAAGCAGAAAATAGTTCGGAATTCTTTTAAGAGGGATTTGAAGTAATTAAAGCAGGCGGAACAGAAGTAGTTAGAGCTACTATAAGCCAATTTACTATAGCCATATAGTATTTAACTTTGTCCTTGAGCTTGGTATTATAGAGCTTGGTATTCTCGAGAATAGCTTTATTATAACTATAGGTATTCTTATATAAAATAGCTCTTTAAATATTCTCCCGGTAGCTCTTTATAATAATATTAATATCTAAAAGTAAGGTATTGGGTTCCTTGGCCTATTTATATAACTCTTTGGTAATAATATAATTATTAGTCTCTAGAAGCTTTATAATAAAAATAAAGGGTTCTATTTCTATAAACTTATTTATAAATTCTCCAGAAATGCCAATAAAACATTTAGTTCGGGAAGGGCCGCTAATAAAATAACCTGAACTAGTAGGAGCTTTACTAGAAGCCTTGGTAGAAGTCGATATAATTCCTGGTCACGTGGTATTCTAGGAAATCGACCTATTATACTTTTCCTTTACTATATCCTCCCTGGTAGTCTTATTACCGGTATATATATAGGGCCTATAAGGTTATAGGATAGGGTTTGGGAGTAGTAGTCAGATTACTAGCCTATAGGTACCTATTACTCTAAGACTTAATTAAAGAGTAGCCTTTATTTGAGATTCTTTAATTTTTCGGGTTTTCGGGGGAGTTTCTAATATACTACTAGTATATATTTATAAAGATATAAATACCTAATTTTTCTAAGGGTTCTAAAGCTTTTTACTTTTATTATTCTAGAGTCTATTACTCGAGTTTCTGAGGTTCTATTATCTTAGCAATACCTATATTTCTAATAGTTCTGAATTAGTTTATTTAAAATCCTCTATAAGATTAAAGGAAGCAAGCTTTAAATACTATTATAAATATAATATTCAGGGCTTGGAAAGCAAGATAAAAGGTCCCTTATAAAGATAATTTAAAGCTAAGGAAGAGAAAACTAGAATATAAGAGGCTATAAGAGAGTATATACACCCCATAGTATACTAGTCCTAAAGGGGCTAGCCTTCTAAATATCTCTAGTACATTCCAAGCATATTTCCCTAGTAAGGCGGCCGTATTACGTATACCTAGGAGGCATCTGGCATCTAACGAGGCATCTCAGATACCGGGCATCTGGGAATCGTAACAGAAGTAATTATAATAGAGGCTACTAATAAAGCTTTTAAAAAACATCTTTTTTTAGGGAAATTATATTTCTAATAAAAATATATTTTTTTAGAAAGTTTTTAATATATATTTAATTTTTAGAATTAAATTTCGAATTAAATTAACTAATTTTATAAAGTATTATTATAAGCTATAAATTATAGATAATTTTTAAATTAATCTTATTTCTAAAAAGAAATACTTGAGTTTATAACTTTTTCTTAATTTAGTTTTAAATGTTTATTTTGTTTTATTTTTATAATAAAATATTTATTTATTTATTTAATTTTCTAAAATAATATATAAGCTTAAAATAATAATAAAATAAAAGTTTAGTTTATTTAGCTTATTAAAAAGAAAGCTTTTTAATAATTATAAAATATTTTAAGATATAATAATTAAAATAGATTTTAAAAGAAGTATTTTAAAGGTCTTTTAGTTTATTTTTTTATTTTTTTAATATTTATATAATAGTAAATATTTCCTTATTATATATATATTATAATTAAATTTTATTAAAAGTATAATTTTAGTAAAATAAGCTATAGAATATTAAAGGCCTATATTTGGGTTTTATTAAAAAAAAAACTAATAATTATTTCTTTAAATATATTTATTTCTATTATTATAAATAAATTTGAATTATAGTATTATAGAATTAAAATAGAAATTATAGCTTTTTTTTAAAGAATTAAAAGCCTTTTAATATTACTCGAATTATTTAAAGGAAATATTCTTTTTTATAAATAAAATAAAAGATCTAGTAATTTATTTATATTTTTTAATAAAGTATTTATAGAAGTTATAAAAGCTAATAAGAATTATATATCTTTAATTATTTTTGGGAATTTCTAGTTATATATTACTTCGATTTTATTAGAATCTATTTTAATATTAAATATAGAAATAATAAAGCCTAAATACTTTATATATATAATCTTAAATTTAGATTTCTTAATATTTATTTAAAGACTAGTAAAATATAAGTAATCTAATACTTTTTGTATATATTATTTATATTTTATTAGATTTTATAAATAATTAAAAATATTATTTAGATATATTATATAAAAATTATTTAAATACTTAAAAAGTATATTATTTATATAATATTAATATATAACCGGGCTATTTATAAGGCCTTTTTAAAGAATATTATATTTATATATTTTATAATAAATATGAAATATTATTAGCTTTTAAGAATTCGGGTTTATAGCTATATAATAGAAAGCTTAATAAATATTTAATTTAATATAAATCTTGGCTTTAGATAATTAACTTAAAGTTTTATTAATAAATAAAAATAAAAATAATTTTTTCGAATAATATTATTTAAATAATAGAAATTAATATAAAAATATAAATCTCTATTTGCTTTTTTTATAAAGAGAACTAGTAAAATAAAAGAAGCTTAATTAGCTTTAATAAAGTCTTTAACTAGATTATTTTCTAAGAAATACTTAATTTCTAAAAGCTTTTAAATAAATTATTACTAAAGAAATTAATATCTAATACTTTTAATTTTTTTTAGGCCTTTAATCTAAATCTTATAATTATATAATCTATAAAAAGAAAAAATATTAGATTTTTTTTTAAAAGAAAATAGAAATTATTTTTTTGAGTTTTAAAAATATTAATATAGCTATAGTTATTAATAGTTATATAATATAGTTATATAATCTAGAAATAACTAGAAATAATAGAATATAGGTAATAGTTTTATAACCTCGTATTATATAAGTAATTTAATAAATAAACTAGATTTTATTAGACTTAATAAATTTAGGAATTATATATTAATATTATAATATTATATTTTTTATTTCTTAATAATAATAACTTTATTAACTTTAATATACTAGTATTTTAAACCTATATAATAGTATTATATATTACTAGTAAACTAATACTAATTAGTTTATATATATAGATTACAGAAAGATCTAGCTAGTTAGAAAAGTATTTAATAGCCTAAATTAAGTAATTTATTTCTAATTAAAAAGAGGAACTATTATTAATTCCGGAAAAGTATTTAATAGCCTAAGGAAAAAAATACTAGCTTTTACTAATTAATAAGTAATTAACTATTTAATTAATTATTTATTTATTTAATTTCTATTATTTTAAAAAAAAAAAATTCTTTTAGCCCTAAAACTACTTTTTTAAAAACTATTTTTTCTATTTATATAATACCCGAATTTATAGTATTCTTTTTCCGGAATATATATATCTATTTATTTTTAAAGCTCTTTAACTATAATTTCGATTTTACTATTAAATTATATTCTTTAAGCTTTAGATTCTTCCGGGATTATAATATTTTACTTTTTAAACTTTTTATAATAAATAAAATATTTAAGAATAAAATATTTATTTTAAACTTTAATATTAATACTCTTATTATTAAATTCTTTTTATAAACCTATTATAAACTATCTTATTTTTAAATACCTTCTACTATAAATCATATATATATACTAGAAAGAAACTAAATTTAGTTTAGTATAAATAATAAAAAGAATAAAAAGCTAATTAAGAAATAAGAAAATGAGATTAATACTATTAATATTATAAAAATAGATCTTCGGAAATATCTAAATACTAAGCTATATTAGTATATCTTATATAGAATATCTAATTAGAATTTATAAGATCTATTTAAGAATAATTTTAAAAACTTTAATAATATAATCTTTAGTTAATATAATTATACTAAATTATAAGGTCTTTAAAAATACTTTTAGTATAATAATATTTATATTAAATAGAACTATATATATCTTATTATAGTATAATTCCTATTTAATAGTATTTAGAAAGAAATAATATATGTTTAATATAAAGCTAATATTATTAAAAATAGCCTAATTAGAATAGATTTTCTAAAGACATCTATTATATTAATTTATTTTATTTTAAAGAGAATTAAACAAAAAGGAACTAAGTATTCTTAATTAATTAGTTAATTAAATTAAGGTATTTTCTTTTCTAAATTAAGGTTATTTATTATTTTTACTTTTATTATTATTACTAGATCTATTATATCTAAAAAACCCTTAGTTAATATCTATTATTATTACTAGAAAGCTTATTAGAGAAATAATAAAGATATATTTTAAGATATAGAAATATAATAGAACTAATAATAGTTTTAATTATAAACTTATTTTTTTTTAATATTTACTAATATATAGAGCTTTTAGAAAAAGTATTAATAAAAGCTTTTTCTACTATATTAAAGAAACTAGTATAAGACTACTTTTATAATAACTAGCTCTTTTAATATATATATAAAGAAGCCTATATAAATATTTATAGTTTCTTTAAAGGCCCTAGTTTCTATTATTAAAATTTAAATAAATAAAATACTATTACCTTAATAATTATAATAATAAAAGACTTTAAAAAAAAAAATATTCGAGCTTAGTTAAATATTAATTAATAACTTATATAAATTATAATATAGCTTTATTTTTATTTTATAAAATACCAAATTTCTATATAATAAAATTATTATTTCTTATTAAAATTTATTAGTATACTAATATATAGTTTCGGATTCTCTTAATAAACTCGACTAATTTATTAATAAGCTCTAATTATCTATTACTATTTATAAGAAAAAGTAATAAATTAATACTAAAATCTATTTTACTAATTAATAATACTATTTTTAAAATTCTCGAAGCTATTATTTATTTGGAAATTATTAATGCGAATCCAGTTATAATTTCAGAACCTATAATAGCTATTTCAAATCCCGTAATTATAATAATTATATTCTAAAGTCGTATTTTATATATAAAAAACCCGAATACTATTTATAAAAGCATATATTAGAAAAATAAAAAACTAAGAAAGCTTGATTTAAAAATAAAAATATTTATTAATTTAGACTCCGAAATTCTTATAACTTTAATAAATGCTTTAGAAATATTTATATATAGTATATTACCGGAATTAAAGAAGAAAAAGATAGTAAAAATAATAAAAACAAACTAGAGAATAATACTTTTAAAGCTTTACTAGTAGAAATAAATAAAGAAAAAAAATATTACTCAGATTTCTATTTTATTTCTATTTTTATTATTTCTATAACTAATACTTTTATAAATAACCTTATTTCTCTTTTTTTTTATATTAGATAATAAGTAAAAACTATACTTTAGAATCTATTAAATAAATAGAAAACGCCTAGATATTTATAATTAATAATATATTAAGATATAATATTTACTACTTTTATAGAATTATAATTAATACTAAAGCCTTTAGATTTTTAATTATGAGTTCTAATTAATTTCAAGCTTTATAATATATTAATAATAGTATCTAATTTAATAAAACTATTAAAGATTAAGTTAATATCTAGTTTAATATTAGATTTATATCTTTTATTAGATTTATAATAGTAAAAATACTAATTAGATAAATATAATTTCATATTATATTTATAAAAACTTTATTTCTATTTAGCTTAGCTAATATAAATAAGCTAGAAATCTATTTTAATAATTTTACTAATTATTTTATTATTTTTACTAGATATTTTATATTTATAATATAATGTTTTAGATATTTTTTCTTGCTTTAAAATATTATATTATAAAGCTTTATTTCTGAATTCTTTATTTATAATTTCTGTTTTTTTTATAAAAATCGAATTATAATATTTATATTACTATTTTAGTTATTTATTTATTAGTAAGCTCCAAAATATACTAGAATAAGTAAGCTATAATATTAATATAAAAGCCCTTAAATACTTTATAAAATATTATAAGTAATACTAGAAATTCGAATAATTACTAAAATAATTCAAGTTTAATTTAAGAGATAATATTAGCTTTAATTATTTTATTATTATTAATATTTTCTATATTTCTAGTAAGCCTATATTTTATATTATTAATAAAGGTACTTAATATTAAGCTAGCTAATAGCTTTAGAATATTAGTATCTTATATACTTGAGATATCCTAAAATAATATTAGATTAATATTTATTTAGGCTTTTCTAATTAGATTATAGTAAATACCGGAAAGTAGATTATTAATAAGAAGTTTATTTGATTTATAAATATTATAGGAACTAAAGTTAAAATTACTTTTATATAAGTTTATAATTCTATTAGAATTATAAAATATTATTATAGCCCGATTTAATATATTTATTTTATTATTATAACTAAAATTAATAGAATTAATAAGAATATTTTATTTTAAATAGCTTTTAAGGCTATTAATAATTTTATAGAATCCGATAGTATTATTTTAATTCTTTTAGTTTATAGTATTTTATCTTAAATAACTAAATATAATACTTTATTACTAATTATATTATAGTAATTAGTAATATTTAAGAAAGTAAGAATAGAAATTTAGAAGCTTTAAGCCAAATATTAAATTATAAATGCCTTAAATACCCGAAATAGTTCTAATATTACTAATATTTATAAACCTTTCTTAAATTCGAATATTCTTATATAATATAAAAGAAATACTAGTTAATCTAATAATTAGAATAGGCTATATAAGCTAGTAGTTATTAATAGAGAGAACTATATACTAGTTCTATTATATAGTAATATTATCTTTTATTTAACTTTTATAAAGCTCTTTTATATAAGAAATATTAAGGTTATTACTAATAGCTCTAAATCTAAAACTATTCTCGAATTTTATAATAAGACTAAAGATAATACAAGTATAATTTCTTTTATTATTCTTGCTATTTTAATAAAATATAATAGAAAACCCTTTTATAAAAACCCGAATATTATAGTATTTTTATAGAATAATAACTTATATAAGAATTTCTATTAAATTAAAATTATTAGCCTTTTAAAAAAGAATATATTTAAGAATATTTTTAGATTTTAGATATTAAAAAAAAATATTTTTAACTTTTAGTTTATTAATAAAATTAAGAATAAAAGTATAAAAAGAAAGTTTAAGAA